AGATCAATGACCTCAGCCCTGTCTTTGACTAGAAATGTTGCATCGTTGCCCCTATTACATATTTTAAGGTTATATTTCAAAATAAAATCAAAAATCGACTCACCTCTGACGTTAGTATTCGTACTGCCCCATTGGAAGTGGTGTGCGTTGGCATCACAACCTATAATTATGTGCCCGTTGTTGACCAGATCGTCGAGCAGCTCCTCTACCTCGTGGCCGGGTGGGTCAGGTCGCTCATACGGTAGGTAGAGAGAAATGAAAAAGAGAACCCTCCCGGATTTGCATTCCATTCTCGCTACCGTGACGTCTCCTCCACTGTAGTTGCTAAGGAAGATAAGATTTAAACTCTTTTTGGCAACAATACACGTCCTTACCTTATCACCATTGGAGACCGCGTAAGTGACATACTGCCCACTCCCTAACCCAGTTACCCTATTATTGTATGTATAGGGTTCCTGGATTAGGGCTATGTCAACTTCAGATCTCGTGAGGGATAGGAGGAGTTCAGCAGCAGCTGCTTTGCAGTGATGCAGATTAATCTGCATGATATTGAGTAGCTGCTGCTTCCTTCCTCCTAATGCGTTAGCCGGAAGCGGATCCATCCGGCGCCGAAGTGCAATTTTCCCCCACGAGCTTGAAGATACTCCTGGCCATCCTTATCCATGGATACCTTGATGACCAGGCCCCCTCCCTCAGTGGTAGAACTGACAAGACGCCAGCTGTCTGTTTTGAGGTTGGGGTTTTGCTTGCCTAGTATTGTCAGGATGCGTGCCGGATCCACAGATGGTGGTGGCACCCATGCTGTCAATACTCTACGGCAGGGGATGTCCTTTAAGGATACAGCCGCCAGATCGCATCCTTGCCATAGGTCACGGAAGCCGGATACTGCGGTGACTAGGTAATCCTTAGATTCCTGGTTTTCGCAGCACATGACTTTCGCGCCTCTGTAAAGGGTGGCGCTGCCAAACTGCATCCTTCGTGGGTCACCCTCTCCCGTAAAGACAAGCTCCCTCAGTCGATCTTCGAATAGCAGCCATCGACTATCGCTGATTTTACCTTCCGGTTCAGCCCTGTCGATGATTGCTACTCGTAGATTGTCCGGGTAGATCGTCTGGGAGTACTTCCTCTTTCGTCCTGCTTGGCCTGCCGTTTGTGACTTGACCTCTCCTTTGTGGGCCTTATCAGGCTTGGAGCTTGAAGGGCCTGTTGGGGGTGGTTTGGTCACAAGCGACTTGCTGACAGACGAAGTGGAAGTTGTAGGTATGACCTACAAATACACATTTTTAGACAAATCCGTGGAAAAGTGTTGTAAAAATCATCAAGATACCGAATATTGGCAGGTACCGTAATATGGCGGCTATACCAAATATTGGACCGATATGTCTCATTTTTAATACCAAACATCCTAGACACAATACAAATTATTCTGCCAAAATGTGATATGTATCTGTATAACAACAGTGCCTCAAATCGTGCACACACTCCTTTAGACCTACTAAGTTCATGTGAGGGGACATCAAACTAAAAGAAAAATATTCTCTTTTCCATTAATAGTTAAGTAACATCCCCCCAAAAATGGATACTAAAATAGTGGTTTCGTTTAACCTGAACCCATTTCTAAACACAAACTTATGGTCCACTGGCATATTGACATTAAATAAATCTGGTAAAAAGTAACAAAACAAACATACTCCATATGCAAAAAGCTATTTACCCACATTTGCCCAGGCTAACCATGTCTTACCCACATCCACTAGCAAGCCAAGTAAATATTATTATAACAACAATAACAATAATCCCACATACTTCCCTCCACATACACACACACATCTAACGATAGCAAAAAGTAACCCCTCTTTATTGTAAGGATATTGGTAAAGAGCTTAAAGGGTTCAAAAACGAACTTGACAATTCATTCATATCTTGATGTTTTTTTCTACACTTTTTTCGAACCCCTACCAACTTTGGCTGTCAATGTCATTGCTATGGGTAATAGCAAAATAAAAAACAAAAAATATCTGAATCAGACAGATGGAAAAATGGGGATACAAACAAAATATAAACATTTAAAATATTTACTTTGAGTATCAGTTGTTGTTCCACCAATATTTGTTCATTTGTATTTAAAACTAAAAAGATTTTGTGGGTCAAAATCAACGACCATCTAAAAAGCACACATTTTAACTTAAATAAGGGGGACTGATTTTTGAAAAAAAGCTATTAAAAGTTTAACATACATTTATTTGTTGGTAAAGTAATTTTGTTATTTAAAAAACCCAAAATCTGTTTAAGGCAAAGTATTGCGCATATCAAAAGCAAATCTCGAAATGAAATTTAAAAAACCAAATCAGTTTATTTAATAAAAACAAGTAAAATAGTATCAATCGTTTTTCCCACACCCCCAGCCTTGAGTTATGATTATTCAAACTGTTGACCCATTATGCGGGAGATTCCGAAGCAGTTGACCAATTCGTATCTGACCTAAGACTGATATAAATATTCCAACGTGGCAGATTTAGACTATATCAACTACTTCCTATACTTTATATGAGATATGCGAAAAGATTTGGAAAATGTGGAAATATGCGTGAGATGCCTGGGACCGAAGTATTCCATTTTCATACTTTCGATGTGATATGAATATATAATTTTAATAATTCCATATCACATTTTTGGTTAAGAGAAATATCTAGATCGAATTGCCAACTTGTTTCACAAGATATTGACACATATAAGTATTGGAAATTGTGACCCCTTGTGGTACCAGAAGGGGTTCGCAGATATATATCATCTTCACAACAGATCTTGTGTTAGCTAAAATGTTTGTATTTGCGAAATTTGAAGAGAGTTGAATGCTTATTTCGCTTGGACCGTTTTGGTTATTCAAAACATTGACCCTTTATGGGAGAGGTACCAGAAGGAACGGTCCGATCTCTACAATACCATGGAAATATTGAGATGTGCCAAGTCTGAATGGAATGGGACGTTAATTTCGTGTTTTATAAGCTGCATGAATATTCAAAATTTTGACCCATAGTGGGGGAAGTGCCAGAAGGGGTGCACCGATATATTCAATCTTCACACCTGAACTTGGGTTAATAAAAATATTGTGATGTGTGTAATTTGACGTGAACCGGAAAGCTATTGGTTTTGGTTTTTTTTAAAACTCTAAACCTTTATGGGGGAGGTACCAGAAGGTATGGTATGGAATCTCTACCATCTTTATGACATATCTTGTATTGAGAAAAATTTGAAACAGGCCAAGTCTGAATGGAATCGGATGTTAATTTCGTGTTTTATGGGCTTCATGGATATTTAAAATTTTGACCCTTTGTGGAGGAGGTACCAGAAGGAGTGGACCGATATATTCCATCTTCACACCAGACCTTCGGTTAATAAAAATATTGCGATGTGAGTAATTTTAAGAGAACCAGAAGATTATTTCGGATTTTATAATCGTTTTGGTTACTCAAAACTTTGACCCTTTGTGGGAGAGGTACCAGAAAGAGTGGTCCGATATATTCCATCTTTACACTAGACTTTGGATTAATAAAAATATTGTGATGTGTGTAAATTGAAGACAATCGGACACTTACATCACATTTTATATGAGTTAAAATTATTCAAAATGTTTACCCATATTGTCAATTTTCGCACATGACCTAGGACTGGTGCAAAGTTGGAGCATAATCGGATTATTATTTCTCGTTCTGTGCAGTAAATTATTTTCTTCGAAAATGTTGATATTTTGTGGGTGAGGTACCAGAAGGAGTGGGCCGATATTGCTCGTCACCGAACTCGATCTAAGTTTGAGAATAATATTACGATGTACCAAGTTTAGATCAAATCGGATACTGCCTTCGAGAGTTATCGTGTTATCCACACAAACAGGCAGACGGATGGACTTCGATAGATCGAATCCAAATGTCCTGAAACAGATTCGGTTCAAAGAGACCTAGGGTCTGAAACCGTTATTATTATGAGGCACGTTTTAGCCTATCAAACGATATACACCCTCTGTAGCCCTATGGCTGAGGATATAAAAAGAAGTTGAAGTTGACAACATTGGTATCTATCATTATTTCATCGCTAACTTACCGCAAATTTTCTGTAATTACTGAAATTATAACCATTTTAATGTTACTGACCTTTATCGGCTACTCAAAAATGGGTTAGAGAATTCCACTGAAGGTCTTTTGCTTCACCATGTCCCTATTATCGAATTCAAACCCTAGATGCAGATAATGTTCTGATTTTCATGTTGTAGAAAAAAGACTCATGAAACATTCCAATTGCCGATCATCGGCAGCCCCATACTACCACAACACATACATTAGGCAAAGGCCCAAACACGGCAGATCGTGTCGCAAAACAGTGTTCGTAGTACTTGATATAAGAAAGGTACATATGGTATTTTTCCTTCCTACCTGGATAGTAAATGTTATGCCGGAAGTGGAACTTCGATATAAACACAGACAGTTTTTGCATTTCAATTCTTGTCTCATTTAAATTCCTCAATGCGAGGAAACAACTATTTAACGTGGTCTGCGAAAGTGCCTGCATGGCCGAATGCTTTTGTTACAGCACATATTCGACTGAAGGTTTTACCAGCTGTCATGACCACACCAAATTTTTAAAACAACGATCGGAACACACCTTAACGATCCCAGTTCAGTAATTTTAGAGGACTATTCATTTCTTGACAGCGTGAAAGAGGTACTAGAGCAAATCCTTGAACAGGAAAATCGTCGAATTCACATATGTATATTGCATATATTTGTTGAAATTGGAAGATAGAATCAAAACACACAAGCTTCAACTCTATTTCAACTGCTGGAAAGAATCTCTGTTTCAGAACTATATCAATATCATACGCATTTCATCAGTTGCCTTCATTTCTATATAAACCTTTATAGATAAGCACAAATTCGTAGACACTTTCTTGGTTAAAAGCTACTAACAAAAAAATTCTGGTCAAAGAAAAGTCTACATCGACTTACCTGGATAATTTTCAACTTTCCTCGGCTATATAACAACACACTACGATTAAAACGCGCACTACACTCACAATTTCATCATGTTACACCATTATTTTTTACAATTTCACAATTTATTCTCTATTTTTCATAATTCACTTTAATTTCCTGGCAAACACGACAATTTTCACATTTCAACTGAGCAAAATTGTGCAAAATCAAACAAAATAACTGTTATTTGACAGTTTGAAAAGTGTAGCAACGTACAGTTTAAAGGGCATTGTAAATAAATTTTGGTAATTTTTCGATTTCGACATCCCTAATCCAGCGCCAAACATGTCCAATCGTTACTTTTGTTTTGATTCCCAATTTTTATTGACCACTTTGCTCATCTATCCACATCACTTGTTTACGGCGTCATTTTTGCAAAGAGGCTTTGCAATTCGTGCAAAAAAACATTGCAAACATTGCCCTCCTTTTTGAAACATCAAAACAAAGCTATTGTTTAAGAAATAAATTAAATATAAATAGTAAAGGCAATATAAAAACTTCCTTATTATAAATACTCACCTGTGTGAACAACTAAATGACAATAACGATTCCAACAAAGGACAAGGCAACAACGGACACTGAACGCTATGAAGATTCTCTGCGAGACCCAAGTGCAGAATCGTCTGACCCAGGCAAACAAGACGCCTCGCATGGTGAAAGCCACTCTGGCCGTGGGATTTCACACCACAGCCAAGGATCAAAATGGAGAATGTAATAAAGATTTGGAAATAATACTATTCACACCACAAGATAAAAATGGTACCCGCTACAAAGTGAAGAATAACATTGAGAAAATGTTCACAAAGTTCTTGAAAGATGGAAAGGCCACAATTAGCTTTAAACAACCTGCTGAAAATCTAATGATAAAATGTGATCCCATACAATTGAAGGGATTTCTACAGACCCTTAAGCTGGGCCTGGATGGTAAGGATTCGATAAATTTGCGAATGAATATTGCCTCGGCAACGGCAATTCCACAAAAATCACAGCCACAAACAAAAATGAATATCACAAATCGTGGAGATTATCCAACAAAGGGCTTTCCAAGGACTCTGAAGTCGTTGACCATAACCGGCATCAAATTGTGCAAGGTCACCTATGATATGTGTTCGCTGCGGAATTTGACAACGTTGAATTTGAGCTTTAATACCATTGAGAAGGTAAGAGGGGAACATTTTATACAATTAAACTTATTCGTTATGATTTCCAGTATGATTGGGAGCAAAATTATTTGAAAGAAAAAATCAGCAGTGGATCGGGCTAATTGCTTTCCATTATTATTCCCGCGATCATGAGAGTAAGAACTCTAATTTCCTTATTTGAAATGGACGGTGGAGGCATAGTTCTGCACCCTAAGAATAATGGTCGGATCAACTTTATCCCTCTACATCTTTATGAACTGCTTAATTTGAATTTCTCCGTATAATGTCAGAATGATGTCCTAACGCCCCGATTTGCCAGGGTATTAGAAGCGAATTTGTGGATTTTGTGGAAAAGGATCTGAGTTTTTGTCTACAAAAAAAAAAAAAAAAAACGGTGGATATCCTACATGCTATACCTTCCTATGTCATTTAATTTCCAAGTGTATTTTTTGGGATTTACGTTTTGCGTTTAAAGAGTTGGCAATAATAGCCAAATTTGATCTTCCACTATGTCCTTTTAGAAATGATAATGTTGCAATGTTTAGAAACCCGGTCGGGAAATCAACCCATATAATAGCTCTGCCCAATCGACTCTTTATTTTCTATGTCGAACTAATTTTAATTTAAACTAAAAAATTTCCTTCTTTTCCATTTTTCAGATACCAAATGAACTGGGACGCCTTGCGCTCGTTGAGCTGAATTTGAGTAACAACAATTTGGGCGATAAAAATGATTGGCAATGGTTAAAGGGTAAAACCATACAGAGCTCCCTAAAAGATCTAGACATGTCTGCTAACAAATTGGAACACTTCCCACCACCACTGATTAAATATGAAAAACTAGTCACCTTAAAACTCAACAATAATCAACTGACCCGTTTACCACAAGCCATACGACGTATGCGAGGTTTGCGATTTGTCCACTTGTCCATAAATAAATTGGAATCATTACCGGCGGCATTTAATAACATTCCCCTGGAAATGTTAGATGTTTGGGGTAATAATTTCCAACAGCTAAAAGAATACGATTTGGATACCAAATCTTCAACGTCTTCGTCTTCATCCGTCTCTGGTGTACAAAATTTATTCACTTGCTCACCATTATGGCTACAAGCCGCCCGAGTGGTTTGCCAACATAAATTGCCTTATTCATCTGCCACATTACCTTGGGTATTGGTCGATATCCTATCGGAAGCGCCAAAATGTGCCTGTGGCAAACTTTGTTATGGTGATACCGTTCTGGAGCGGGCAGCCATGGCCACATTTGAAAATGTCAAGAATTTAGTATTTAGTCGAGATCGTCTAATATATGCTGATATTGTTTTATGTGGTTCCCAGTGTGCTGGCCGTAAGCAGATATTGGCAACATAGTGTTGGCCTTTGGCGTTCGTGGGCCATGCATTAGACTTTTTAAGAATTTGATCATAATCTGCATTGTTTCACATAGTTTAAGTTCTCCTCATTATCACCCTTGTCATTAGCGTTATTATTACTAATATATTATTTTTTTTTTGTTTCGTTGTCCCATTGTGTTTTCTTCCCGTAGGATACTGGATATTCCCAAATAACATTTTTTATAAGAAAAGAAATGAATAAATAAATGCAAGAGATAAACATGGTGTGATTTTTAAATGAAAAGTTAAGGAGGGACAGAGGTGTACAAGGACATATAACTCTTCTATGGACATATAACTCTTCTATGAGAATATCTACAGATCTTCTATGAGAAGATCTACAGATCTTCTATGAGAAGATCTACAGATCTTCTATGAGAAGATCTACAGATCTTCTATGAGAAGATCTACAGATCTTCTATGAGAAGATCTACAGACCTTCTGTGAGAAGATCTACAGATCTTCTGTGAGAAGATCTACAGATCTTCTGTGAGAAGATCTACAGATCTTCTGTGAGAAGATCTACAGATCGTCTATGAGAAGATCTACAGATCTCCTATTAGAAGATCTACAGATCTCCTATTAGAAGATCTACAGATCGTCTATGAGAAGATCTACAGATCGTCTATGAGAAGATCTACAGATCTTCTATGAGAAGATCTACAGATCTTCTATGAGAAGATCTACAGATCTTCTATGAGAAGATCTACTGATCTTCTATGAGAAGATCTACAGATCTTCTATGAAAAGATCTACAGATCTTCTATGAGAAGATCTACAGATCTTCTATGAGAAGATCTTCAGATATTCTATGAGAAGATCTAAGGATCTTGTAAGAGAAGACCTACAGGTCTTCTATGAAAAGACCTACAGATCTTCTACGAGAATACCTACGGGTCTTCTCTGAGAAGATCTACAGATCTTCTATGAGAAGATCTACAGATCTTCTATGAGAATATCTACAGATCTTCTATGAGAATATCTACAGATCTTCTATGAGAATATTTACAGATCTTATGTGAGAAGATCTACAGATCTTAATGAAAAGATCTACAGAATTTATATGAGAAGATCTACAGACCTCCAGGTATTTTATGAGAAGATCACCAGGTCTTCTATAAGAAGACCTCCAGGTACTCTATGAGAAGACTTCAGGTCTTCTATGAAAAGACCCCCAGGTCTTCCATGAGAAGACTTCCAGTTCTTCTATGAGAAGTCTTCCAGTTCTTCCATGAGAAGACCTCCAGGTCTCCTATGAGAAGACCTACAGGTCTTCTGTGAGAAAACCTTCAAGTCTTCTATTAGAAGACCTACAGGTCTTCTGTGAGAATATGATGTGAGATCTTCTGCGAAATGACCCATAGATCTTTGCATCACCATTTACACAAAAAAGTTCATGTTGTGTTCAATCTCCTTTCAAATAAAATTACCCCTTCAAGAACTCACATCTTTTGCCATTACTAAGTCAACATTTTTATTTTAATGATTCATTTTCTCTTGTCAATTTGTTTAGCTAAATTTAAATAAACATTACTTATTTTTTCATTTTTATAAATTCTCAGCATAATTTGTTGATAAATATTTTATATACGTATATATAATTAGAATCATGTCATGTACTAGATTTCATTAAGCGCAAACCAAGGAACGAAATTAAAGTGCTTCTAAAACAAAGTGCTTCAATTCAAAATTTGTTTTTGCAATACATACAAACATACAACCAAAATTTAACTTAAATCAAGGAACTTAATTCTCAGTAACAGTACAAAAAATAAACTCAAAGTAAAAAAATATATATCTCTAATGCACATACATACATACACACATGTGTAATAAATGCTATAAGTACTTTTGTTTCGAAAAAAAAGGATTAAAAAAAATTGCAGATCATTGTGAACACAAACAGGAAAATAAACAAATAAATTACAAATACCAAAATCATAAAAAACACAGCTCTATTTTCTTTCTTCCACAAATAAAAAATAAAAATTGTATAACTTTGCCGGAACAACTAGGGGATTATGAAAACGGCACAATGGCAATGCAGGGAATCCAAGTGAGTTTTGCATAAATGCTATCCACAAGTGCTCATAACTTGCAGAGGCAGAACAACAAAGGTATAAAACATCCTATGGCCACAATAACTGGCATCATTATCGTAGAATCTTCCGAGGCATAGGGATCGGGATGACGTGGTCCACTTGTTTTTGTATTTCTACGTTCTCTTTCTAAATCATCCAAGTCATCATGGCCAACCTCATTGTCATACTGACTATCAACATCTTCATCATCGTCAATAATATTGTCTTCATCTTCCACCTCCTCATCGGCATCCATAAGATCCTCCTCCACATCATCTTCCATTACTTTCTTTGTATTCGTTTTAAATTTTCGATTTGATGAATGCCCGTTGATATCATGTTTCTTCTCCTCAAATTGGTCATCTGTATTGAAACCTTCGCTTTGCATGGCCGGCAATCGAGGTATTCTCTCCACATCGCCTTTGAACAGAGCAAATGCATTGATTTTGGGATTATCATAGGCACCCTTAATAAATTCCAAACGTATCACATTGTTGCGTATATCGGAAACTTCATCCTTGTAGTGTAGTTTACCACGTGACACTGTGAAAAAGATGTACTCATCATGTGCCGTACCCCGACCAACTTGTGCAAAGATATCCAAATTTGAGACAATTTCATGTTGGCGATTCAGAACGACATCGAAAACCTTTAAAGGAAAGACAGCACAAAGATTATAATTTAAATTTTGGGAAAAAATGTTAAACTAAATTAATTGTTTTTTTTTTCAGGGATTTTAAATGGATATTCAAGGGGCACAAAAAAGGAGCTAACACAAAAAAATTTAAGTTTTAGATGTCTGTTCCGGAAAAACAGATTTTTACCCTTAAGAAGACTTCTACAATAACAAATTCTATTACAACAATAGAGGCGGTACAACTAATCTACCACGCCACAAGTAACATCTCCCCCAACGTTGCCCCTTTCCTATTAAATTTAACCTAAACAAGTAAAATAGTATCAGTCGGTTTTGACGACAGATGTATACCCCCAGCTTTGAGACCGTTGACCGATTATAAGGGAGGTTCTAAATATTTAGCCAATATTGACAATTTCGTATCTGACCTAAGACTTATATAAATATTACAACATGCCAGATTCGGACTATATTGATTACTTCCTATACTTTATATGAGATATGTGCAAATTTTTGGAAAATATGGAAATATGCGTGAAGAACAGATATAGCGGACCGAAGTATTCCATTTTTATATTTCATCTAATACAGATAAAAATGCAGGTATGTGCAAAATTCGAAGGAAATCGAGCATTTATTTCCAATTTAATGCGTAAATAAATTCCGATAAATTACATTTCATATCAGATTTCTAGTTAAGAGAAATATTTAGATATAGCATGTTGTAAGAATCGCCGAATTGTTTCGATTGCTATGACAGATATAAGTATTGGAATTTGTGACTCTTTGTGGATGAGATACCAGAAAGGGTTGGTAGATATATATCCTCTCCACAACAGATCTTGCGACAGATCTATGACAGATATAAGTATTGGAATTTGTGACTCTTTGTGGGTGAGATACCAGAAAGGGTTGGTAGATATATATCCTCTCCACAACAGATCTTTCGTTAGCAAATACATTTGGATGTGTGAAATTTGAAGAGAGTTGGATATTTATTTCGCTTTTTGAGCCTTTTGTTTTTTAAAATCTTCAACCCTTTGTGGGGGAGGTGCCAGAAGAAATGGCCCAACCTCTACCATCTTTATAACAGATCTTGTTTCGATGGAAATATTGAAAAGTACCAAGTCTGAATGAAATTGGAGATTAATTTCGCGTTTCATGAGCTTCATGTATATTCAAAATGTTGACACTTTTTTGGGATGGTACCAGAAGGTGTGGAGTCAGTCCGATCTCTACCAACTTTATAAAAGATCTTGTGCTTATGAAAATATTGAGAGGTGCCAAGTCTGAATGAAATCGGATGTTAATTTCGCGTTTTATGAGCTCCATGGATATTCAAAATTTTGACCCTTTGTGGGGGAAGTACCCGAAGGAGTGGACCGATATATTCCACTTTCACACCAGACTTTGGCTTAATAAAAATATTGTGATGTGTGTAATTTGAACAGAACCAAATGCTTATTTCGAATTTTATGATCGTTTTGGTTATTCAAAACTTTGACCCTTTGTGGCGGAAGTACCAGAAGGAAGGGTCCGATCTCTACCATCTTTATAACAGATCTTGTGCTTATGAAAATATTGAGAGGTACAAAATCTGGATGAAATCGGATGTTAATTTCGTATTTTATGTGCTCCATGGATATATTCAAAATTTTGACCCTTTGTGGGGGAGGCATTTTTACCGCTTGTGGGGTAGGTGCATGATGGAGTCGACCGATATTGTCCATTTTCCCACCTGACCTAGCACTGATGCAAATATTACGATATTACAAAGTTGGAGCAAAATCGGATTATCCTCTCCCTTTCTTTGCAGTAAATTATTTTATTTGAAAATGTTGACATTTTGTAGGGGAGGTACCAGAAGCACTGGACCATCTCCGAACTCGATCTAAGTTTGAAGATAATATTACGATGTTTGGATCAAATCAAATCCAGCTAGCCAGCCAGACATACGCACGGACATCGCTTGATCGACTCCAAATGTCCTGAAACGGATTTAAGCCAAAGAGATCTAGGCTCTAAAAACGTTATTCGATGAGCCACGCTTTGACCGTATCAAATGATATATATCCTCTGTAGGCATATGGTTGAGGGTATAAAAATGATTTATGCACATCTGTAGGTCTCTTCAACAAATGAGTTTGTCTTAGATATGACTTTGTGGGAGGATAAAGAAGAAACAGAAACGAATGAACATTTGCTTCAGCCTTGATGGAAAAGCACAAGATCCACGATCTTATCCTTTGGGAATTTACGAATGGAAAAAAGGGAAATGCTAGCTCAAAAGTCTTCTATACTTGAGACAAAAGTAAAATGGGCCTATTGGAGAAACCTTTGCTTAATCACTTCATAATTTTCCCTTCTCTTTGGGAATTATGTGGCTGTGTGCCATTTAAGACCATTTGTAATTCCTCGAAATTTATTCATTAGTTAGTCTAAGTCTTCGATACCGGAGGTAAAAATAAAATCGACATACTGGAAAAATCTTTGCTGAATTTATAAAATTTTCCCTTCTCTGGGAATTATGTGGCTATGTGCCTTTTAATTCCTCGAAATTTATGCATTAGTTGGTCTAAGTCGACTACATGTAATATACATAACACTCTACTTCGATTCAAGAGATTTTGAAGATTTCGAAGTCGTATTTAAATCAGATAACCTCTAATTTGACGTTATAAGTTTCTCAGACAGTACAACGCTTTCAACAGAAAATGTCCAAAATTTGTCTTTCGTTTGGTGTAGCACCTATTTAGCGGCGCCTACTGATATTCTGTTTTTTTGAAGTTTCCAAAACAATTTTCAAACGAAATGGTTGAAGAGGTTTGGTATTGCGATTTCTGAAGGGATGAAAACTTGCTTTAGGAAAATTTTTTTGGGTCTTATTTTTTTTTTCATGTTTGATTCGGCCGATTTTGGGTGTTGCAAGCCTTGTATGACCTGGTACAGTCAAGGCTGAAATTTGACAACTGTCCTCCTGCCTTCTTAACGGGATTCTACGACTAGCCTCGTCTCCACCTGTATTCTGCATTAAAAGCATATTTCGTAGGTGGAGGAAAACAGTTTCGGAGAAATAAACCCATCTATGAAAACTTTTTTCTTTTAAATTTCTTCCTATTTTTTTAGTCACAACTCCTTATAGGTGGGTGTGTTAAAACATAATTGATACTAAATTACTATTTCTGATTAATCTGCTTTACAAATAGCACAACCACAACAATAACATACTGATGTTGGTAAACGGAAACGATCATATGTTGTTTGTTTTAATTAGCTAATGGAGGTAGGAGGATAAAATTACTAAAATACGTTCTTTTGACTTTGACCTTTTGAAAACCAATGCCTGTACACATATGTTTGGCCAACGATGAGACAACAAATGGATATTCATGTTCTAACAACAAATGTTGATAAGTTCCCAGTTGCAGGGGAAATATATTGTCTAGTTGGTCATTTTGAATTGCAATTAATTGACACAAAATTATTTCTATTTTCTTATGTCGGCCCACTATTTCATTGCAATTGATAACAACGCTATCACTCTAATTCACCATAATTCCCTTGGGACGATAAACATATCCACATCAATTAAAAATAGCAAAAAACACATTCCACTCACCTTCTTATTCGGCTCATTGAAATATACTTCGCAAAATTTCAATAGCAATGCATAATTGCCGTCACCTTCCAAAGGTAAATCATAGCCAAAGGTCGACGTATGATAACGTTCCGTACGATACAGCACCTCATCCTGTTGCGGAACACGTCCAATTATCAGCAAATGGTTGCCGTAATCGGAGGCAGTGCCCACATTCAAGGGATCAGCCTCATAGAGTATGCCATACTTATCAGTGTGATCATAGCCACCGGCATTAATGGCATAAATGACCTGTAAATCGTTGTTGGCAGCTGCCCGAACACCTGAGTACAAACTACTGCAGCTTATCAGTAAAACACTGGCAACGTAGACTAGCAATTGAAGAGAATTTCTTCTTGATATTGATGTGGTCGATGATGTGGCAAGATTCATGGCTAATTAGTTTATAATTAAATATTTTCCTACTTTTTTCCAAAACACCTATAAGCTGCCCTTATTTCCGTGTTGTTGTTGTTTCTGTTCTGTTGTGAGTATTCGTCGTCGTTGGCTAGCAGGCTGTCAATTGGCTATTTTTAACCAATCGGCAAATCTAGGGTACGTGTCCTAGTATACTTGGCTTGTTCTAATTTGTCTATCTCGGCTATCTGGAATATAAATGGGATTTTAATTGACGAACTTTAGTTGTTTACGGTCCACTGACTTTTATTTCAGCAAATGTTGATATTTTTTAATTTTTCAGTTTATCCGACGGACGACAACATTATAGAAACACTAACAACAATAAAATACACAGAAGAATGGTACCCGGTATTCTCCGGGTATTCACCATACAACTCCAAATTTTCAAAATCTTTTTTGACCTTTTTTGTTTGTTAAATCACGCACAATCTGAAACAATCACACATACACATTTGTTCTACACATTTATTCATACAGTTTTATAAGAAATACATTTAGAAAATCAAAATGAATTAACAATTTACCAAACCAATGCCAGAACTGAAGTAACGAACAAAGGACACTGTGATAGGGCAACACTGAAATGAAAGACAGCACAGAAAGAAATCTAAATAAAGATATGGAATCAAAACAGAAAGTCTGACAACAAAGTGTTCCCTAGATCGGAAAAGTCACTTTCTTCTTCTTCAGTCGTGCAGCTGTGTGTAGAAACTAGGGATTTGTAATTCGAGTTTCGTCTCAATGACATCGTGTTGTCAAAATGCAATGCATTTGTAAATTAAGGATTTATAAAATTAATTAGACTCCTTCAAGGTAGAAAGGCCAAAGCGATATTTTCTATAGCGTATTTAAAAAAAATCTAGACTCCTACAAGGCAAAAGGGGTGTGGATTTTTTAAAGATTTTTTTTCAAGACTCTTACAAGGCCTAAAGGGGCCTTTAAAGAATCAAACAAGAACCAAAGAGGAGTGGCATTTTTAAAGAATCACACAAGGCCCAGATGCGTGGAATTTTTAAAGAATCCCACAAGGCCCAGAGGCGTGGATTTTTAAAAGAATACCACAAGGCCCAAAGCGTGGTTTTTTTTAAAGAATCTCACAAGGCCCAAATCGTAGGTTTTTTAAAGAATCTCACAAGGCCCAAAGCGTAGGTTTTTTAAAGAATCCCATAAGGCCCAAAGCGTGGGTTTTTTTTTTTTAAAGAATTCCACAAGGCCCAAAGCGAAGATTTTTAAAAGAATCCCATAAGGCCCAAATCGTGGATTTTTTAAAGAATCCCACAAGGCCCAAAGCGTGGATTTTTTAAAGAATCTCACAAGGCCCAAAGCGTGGATTTTTTAAAGAATCCCACAAGGTCCAAAGCGTGGATTTTTTAAAGAATCCCACAAGGCCCAAAGTCGTGGATTCTTTTAAAATCTTTTTCAAAACTGGTACAAGGCCCAAAGACGTGGATTTTTTAAAGATCTTTTTTCAAAACTGGTACCAAGCCCAAAGACGTAGATATTTTAAAACTCTTTTTTCAAAACTGGTACACAGCCCAAAGACGTAGATATTTTAAAACTCTTTTTTCAAAACTGGTACAAAGCCCAAAGACGTAGATTTTTTAAAACTCTTTTTTATAACTCCTTCAATGCCCAAAGGCGTAAATTTTTTAAAGATTTTTTTTTCAAGAATCCCACAAGGATCAAAGGCGTGATTTCTCTCTCTTTCAAAACTCCTACAAGGCCCAAAGGCGTGTATTTTTTAAAGATTTTTTTCTAGGTTTCTCTTAAGGGCTAAGTCCATAAGAAGCTTGAAGTCATGGCTAGGCATATTAATGTCATATTATAATGGAAAACGACGGCTGGATTTTAGTGCGGCTCTGTAATCCCTTTGTGAAATGTCACAAAATATGCCTAGCCATGACTTCAAGCTTCTTATGTACTTAGCCCTTTAGACTCAGAGGCTTGGATTTTTAAGAAAAAATTCTAGACTCTTAAGTGATGTTTACGTTAGAACTTTTTGTAGGGTTAACCTACCTCAAAAGGATATGCCAGTTTTAACCCAAAGCCAGTGGGTTATCCGGCAGAATTCAAATGCCGATAGCCCACTGGATTTCATCATTTCATGTTTTCTTTATCATTTCATGTTTTCATTGCATATATAAAAAAAAAATTACAGAATTTTCAATGTCTAAAATGACAATGGCTGGCTCTGTTGAGCATGCTTTTATCGAGAACACTCATATTCTTTTTTAATTATAACTAAAAGGACAGCTTAAAATGTCCTACTTGTAGAATTTATAGTTAAAATCTATTATTTTACTTAGAAAGGTGTACTTAAAAATCAAGTTAGTCGAGTGGCAATTGTACAAAGTTAAGATATCGGAGTTATCGATAAGTCAAAAGTCGACTTAGCTATCCCTATTATCAACACGTGCGGTCATAGGCGATAGATGGAGGAAGACGGGATTTTGCACTAAAAACCTATCAAAAATAGTTGAAATAATTAACTTTTTGGTATTTTATAACTCACATTTAAACCGTTTCTCCTCTCAAGTTGGAGGCTACACCAGAAAATCGCACTTATAACCGTCTTGGAATATCATAAGGCCATAACAAAAACAATAACTTACATTGATTATCAGCAAGAAAATAGGACCAGCACTATGAATTTTGAAAACGAGGATCGTCTGCAGTTCGAACAGCTAACTGGGGGTAATATAATTGAGAAGCCTCCCATTTATGGCAATACTGGAGAGTAAGTTTATCAAAGTTTCCCATTCTAAAGACCACAAACTTATTCCATTAACTTCCTTTCATCTGCAGGCATTTACTATTCCTGTCGGGAAAATACATTAATGTTTACTCCACAATATCTGGCCAATTGGTACGCAAATTGGAGGGTGCCTCGACGACATTAGTCGATTATTGCTATGAACTGGACAATGAAGATATTGTTGTGGCCTGCAGTCAATCGGGGGAGATATTGACGTGGGAATGGAAAACTGGGGAATTAAAAAGCAATATTCAAATGAACATGAATTGTAGCCATGGTGGTGCAGTTACAAATTTCCAGATTTTAAATTTGTGGGGTAATTCCGCATTGCCATATGCTTTTGTATGCTTGAAAGTACCGAAGAGTAATTGTGTGTGGCGCCTTCTTGATCGTACATGCGGTAAATTTGTACCGGTACCGATGCAAATGAGACTGACGTGAGTAAAAACAATTCAATTTGTAATGAGAAACATTGTTAAAATGTGTCTGTTTTCAGGCCAAGGACACCTTTAATGGCAGTGGATAGCAAAAACTTTCCAAATTTGGTAATCGTCCAGGGTTATTATGTCTATTTCGTCAACTACAAAAACTGGAGCTTTAAAAGGTAAGTTTCAAAGTATAGAAATATGTGTAAGAAAGAAAAGCTCTTGGTGGAGAAAGGATTGACCCATCTAAATGCGAGGAAAGATTGGAAAAATCTTAATGGGGGTCAAAAGCGACTATTTCGAGCATTTTCGGCTGTAAATCTTTTTATTTAAGTTTAAATTTTTCCTCTTTTTTCAGATTTAATAATGCCCATAAAGTTCCTATTACCGTCCTGCAAAAACATCCAAAAGAAGAATGTTTTGCCACTGGTGATGAGACTGGCAAAGTATTCCTATGGCGTGAATTTACCAGCAAGCATGAAGTGAAAACTGTAAGAATTTAAAACTATGAAATAAGTTCTTTCTATTTAAAATTAATTTATTTAACTATATTCCCCATAGTCCCTTTATCATTGGCATCACACCAAAGTCACCAGCATCTACTTTACTGTGTCTGGTGCAAATTTCTTCAGCAGTGGCGAGGAAGCTGTACTCGTAAAATGGAATGTAGAAAATCCAGAATACCGCCAATTTTTACCACGCATTTCATCGAAGATACAACATGTAGTTGTTAGTCCTGACAACGCGCAAATTGCCGTATGCACAGTTGACAATGGTGTACAATTTGTTGGCACAGAGAACAAGATTTTAAGTAATCTTCAAGAATTCACTTATATTGTGGATGATAAAACGGGAAACAGTAAATTCCCAGTGGGCTTACGTTTAAATCCTCGTACCAATACTTTGGTTTTGAATGGACGTACAGGTTCTTTGCAGTTCTACAATACCTATACCAAGAATTTCCTGTACAATGTACGTAAATTTGGCAACAGTTTAGTAAAGAAATGTACATTTTAATTTGTGGTTTTTGTAATTATTTCAGTTGAATATTGTCAATCAAAACTTGCTGTCCACGGAAAGTGATCGTATTTTGTATGACATACGTGTAACAAAGGCCGCTTTTAATATTGATTGGCTGGCAACTGGCGAAGTGTTTAATGACAACGAACACTTGCCAGAATTACGTTTAAAATTTTGGAAATATCAAGAGGAAACTCAACGGTAAATAAACCAAATCTTAACACCTTACTTAGCATATTTAACAATTATACTTATTTTTCAGTTATGCCCTAAATACCAACATTGAGTTACCCCACGAAGGTGGTTTCAAGGCTATAGAATTTTCCAATGACTATCAAGTGGATAATTTATTGTGTGCCACAGTGGGCGAAGATAATGTCATTAAAATGTGGTGTTTAGATGATTCCGATAGCATCTATAAGGAAGGCAAATCCTGGTTCTGTATAGCACAAACTTCCTATAGAAATCTACCAGTAGAATCTATATCATTTTCACAAGATGGTTCATTGCTGGCTGCTGGATATGGCAATACGTTGTGTATTTACAAATCGGAGGATTTGAAATTGAAAGCTGCCCTAACTGGGGCCAATGGCATGGATGGTTGCGTTACGAAAGCCCAAATTCGGCTACCCACAAAAAATGTGAACGGCTCAAAAGTCGATCTAAAAGAAAAACGTGATAAATTAATGAAACTATTTTCAAATTTATTGGAATTGAATGAAGAGACCTTGGTAAAGGAATTGCAGAAAACCGTAGAAGATAATCGCAAATGTTCTGAAGAAAATCTGAAACCTGCTGGCAAATTGGATGATAAACAAAAAATGGCTTTGTATTCAAGAATTTTACAAATGCATGAATTGAATCTATTCCAAAAGGTTATGATTTATCAAAAATTGGGAATTGGCTGTAAAGTTCATCCCCAAATGACTACAAAGGTTATTGATTATATACAAAACTCTATCGGTCAACGTAAAAAACAAAAACGTTTACAAACATTGTACGGAAAAACGCATCGCATGACCAAGAGTGAACGTTTCAAGGCTAAATATCGTTTGGAACAACACACAAAACGTCAGCGTAATTATGATGTAGCAATTACCAACAATTTGGTTCCTCTACTGAGCCTTCTGAACCTGGATCAAAATACCCAGCCACCCTTAAAGAAGAGTACGGAAAAGGAATCTATTGTAAATAAGGTGGTATCGGATCCACCAAGGCCCACAATTGCAGAAATAAAGCATGTGCAATTTGCTGCCGGTGAATATGGACATCTGGTGGCCGTATGCACTGAACGCCGTATACTTATATGGAATTTGTTGACATTACGTTTGCAATCTGTGTTGAAATTGAGCGCAAAACATGTTACCTTTGATGCTCAAACTAATCTTATGGCCGTTGTGACCAACAATGATGAATGTAAGTTTGGGATTTATTTAATATCTTCCTATTAGTCCATACTCATAATTCAAATTCTTTTTCTTTAACATAGTACACATTTTCCAACCAAATGTTCCTTTACCCATCTATCAACGTCGCAATATGCCACAACTGTACGGCATGGCTTGGATACCCAGACGTTATCCCAAGCAACGTTCCATTAATTTAGATTGGCAGGCTCAATCTACTTTGTACTTTTTAACAGATGATCAGGTATATTTTACAAATTTAATATTTTTGTTTTTCTTTCTAAAAACATGTCTGTTTTTTTTGTAGAAAATTATTTATTTGAATTCACCCACGGAAAAACATCTTGATATTCCTCCTCCCATTACTTTTAATAAAGCTGCATCAGCATCAATGCAAATTTCCACGTTCGGTACATTTGCTGCTAAATCCATTTCGGAAACACATACTACCTCTAGTAGACAATCTGGTCCTTTGGTATTGGGAAATTCCGATAAGACAGCTGTGAAAACGGTAAGTCAGCTTGAGAAATTTTTGATGTTATATTTAAAAAATGGAAAACGTAATTTTGGAAGATATTGTATAGTGATAAGTGTCTATATACTGGGCTTGGACTGTTTCAAGATGATTTTTAAAAAAAAACTAAGATGACATTTTTAAAGAAAATATACATATAATTGAAATGGAAATTTTAATTTTGGAAGACATTGTATACCGATAAGTGTCTAAACTCTGGACTTGGACTGTTTCAAGATAATTTTTAGAAAGTCCTTCAACCAAGATAACATTTTGAAAGACCCCATCTAAAATATCGGAATTGATACAAGTTTTTAACAATCTGCTCTTCCTCTTCCTGCGGCTTTATAGATAAATGGCCCATGGTTGTTGTCTCTCTCAGAACATGAAATTGTGTCAATCTTCCCTAAGGCAGTGAAATCGACTTTAAAATGACCTTCCTCCAATTCACAAATTAATGAGCGTACTTTGCGTCATCTGGCCAATTCAATCGAAAAGGAATGAGGTCTGTTTTTATTGTACTGTGAAAAAGCCGAATAATGGCCACCACATACAGGCTTGGTTACCACATACATCCTCTTCACGAAATTTTGCATAACCTATTTGGAATGTGGCTGCCCTATGACCTCGATAGCCCGACGATGACCTTGAATCGACTCTGGGATTTTGGCGTAAGTTTCATCTTTAAGGTGGCCTCAAAAAAAATCACAAAATCTCGGACTCACTTTGTGAGTCGATTTATGAATGTCAGTTCGTCTGTCCATATATTTTTGTGAACAAAATGCTGGTCGCTTTTATTATCCGATTAAGATGAAATTGGTGGGAATCGGCTCAGATTTAGATATAGCTCCTATATATATCTTCAACCGACTTCGGGTTAATTATGCACCAAATGGAAAATATCAGTCCAAACGACCCGAATTTTGGCATATCAGGCCGAATTTTGTCTAGAAGAAAGTAAATCAAAAATCGGTACAGATATAGCTATAGCTCCCATATACAGGTTGAGATAAAAAACTGCAACAAAGTCAAACGCCATAATTTTTACTTTTTTTTTTAAATTTTATTAAATGAAAGCAAAAAATGTCTGAAATAGCATCAAATTTTAGAATAAGTTTAGATTTGTTCGAATTGGTCACCTTTGGAACGAATTATGGAGTAACACGCTGTCCGAATGGTGCTCTACGGTATTTTGGCTCATTCCAGGCTAAGCACTTGCTTTAGGTGATCGACACTTTGGTATTTTTTAGTTCCAACCTTGCTTTCCAAAATACTCCAGACACAATAGTCCAACGGATTGGTATCCGGTGGTTTTGGTGGCCATTGTGCGCTGGAAATGAAGTGAGGAACCTCATTTTGTAACCATTCTTGGGTGGCGCGTGCTGAGAGCGATGGTGCTGAATCCTGTTGGAATATCCAAGGTCTGCGGGCATAATGTTTGCGCGCCCAAGGCTTTAATACACATTACAGAATATTTTCGCGATAATATTCGACATTTATTCTGATGGCACGGTCGATTAATACGAGCGGAGAGCGACAATCGGCTGTTATGGCGGCCTACACCATCACCATGGCTGGCGCTTGACTTCCGGGGGCCAACCGAAGGTGCACATTTTCACCTGGCCTCTTTGACAAGTATACACGATTATTTTGTTAGTTTACAAACTGCTGGACAACGAATGTTTTCTCATCGGAGAAAACCAAATTTGGCAATTCACCACTTTCGGCCAAGCGAAGCAACTCTTTAGCTATTTTGAGTCTATTTTTTTGCGGTGTAAGTTCATGCACTTTTTGGTATTTCAACGGCTCATTTTTCAATATTTGCCGAATGGAATATTGCGATATGTTCATCTCACGAGCCATTTTTCGAACCATTTCTGCTGATGTTGCTTTTTCTTCCGTCCACTTCCTTGACGTCGGGCTACGCTACCAGTATCACAGTGCGGTTAAGCGATGGTACGAGACACAAAAGATTTATTCGCATTTAAATGCTGGAGTGCTCCAACGATAGCCATTTGTGGTTTTCCAGCCAAATATAAAGAAATCACACTATCACGCTTGAATTCCATCACGAATAACTTTTTTTTTTGGAAAATTCTCACCAAAATGCTTTTGTGCGCTTGAAAACAATATAATGAGCTGTCACTGGAATAATTTTAACAGCTGTCGGACGAGTGGCTTAGAAATGACTGCAGTCTGATGTTGGTTGCAGTTTTTTCATCTCACCCTGTACATCTTCAACCGATTTCGGATTAATTGTACACCAAATGGCCAATATCAGTCCAAATGTGCTGAATTCTGCAATATTCGACCAAATTCAATAATAATATTTGGAAAAAATCGGTTCAGATTTGGATGTAGCTCCCATGTACATCGTTATACGATTTAATCCGATTTTTCGGTTTTGCTCACCATATATGTAATATCAGTCCAAATTGAATAGATTTTTTCATATTGAACCGAATTTTATCATTTGTTGAAACTTGGTCCGGACTACATATTGCTCCAATAAATATTTTTTAAGATAATACTTATTGAAGTCATATCATGCACTTTATAGCAATGTTATTTGATTCATAGTTGGAGATCTACTACACATAAATGCCAATATTTCCTTACTGGCGTAGTTTTTCCGTGTCGATATCGGGTTATAGGAGTTTTGGCTTTAAAAAAGACCATCGTTTGAAACAAATTTATTTCAATATATAATTGGTAATTTTTTGGGTGTTCTAAAAATTACCAATAATTAAAATACCCGTTTTCTTTTCATTTACACTTTATTTTCAAATAAATTAATTCAACTTATTAGCTACGACAAAAAACATTAACTTAAATCTATGAAGTACAAAGGCATAAAAGTTTTGTTTCATGTCTTTACAAATACAAATTCTTTGGGATCTATAAATGAATACCATGGTTGTTACTACTAACTTTTATGTAACAAGAAAAAATGAAGGCATTTCGCAAAGGAAACTTCTTTGGAACACTTTCTTTTAATCCAAGATTTACTTGTGAACATTTAATCAACTGTTTTTGCTGTTGGTAGCTGGTGCCTTGTTGTTATCTGATGTTTTAACGAAATTATAATTTAAACTTTGGCTGAGTCTGGAAAAAAAGGAAAATAAAATCGAAAGAAAAAAACAAAACAAAACAATGAAATTAAAATTCAAATATCAAAATAAAATCATTTAAGCGGTACTTTTTGTTAAAATTTTGCTACCAATTACAGATTATCTAGTTGTGCATAATTTCTTTTTTTTTTGAATTTTGAAAAATGTGTGTGAGTCTGTTTGGTTTCATATCGTAATGTAATTCTCACTTTTTCACATCACCCAAACGTGGTGCGGTCGGTACTCTTAAATGACGACAGCGCCTCATCATTAGGACGTCATGTTTAAAGTAACGCAAACAATGCCATTGTGGTACTTTGGGCATTAGCATTTCGTGCTGAAAATAGAGTAGACATTGAGAAGACACAGTGTTATAAATTATTTATATTATTAAACATATTGTATGTTTGGAAATGTATAATGTGTAGTTATTACAATTGTATTCGATAAATAAAAAAAACAATCATATTTGCTTAGCCTTAACAATAAAATATAGGGTATCCACTTCCAAACATTCGTCGGAAGTAAAACTATATTCCGATTTAGCCAGTCCATCCGTACATGCCCATACAATAACAATGGAGCTCACATTATATTAAAAATGGATTATAACGGCGTTCGTTTTGGTATACTCTTGATATTACGGTACCCTCTGATGTCTTTATTTTTAAGGTTTTAATCTTTCTTTCAACCTAACCAGATTTTTAATTGACCTTTCGGATTCTGTATGGGAGATATACACCCCGCAAAAAATATTCAATATGGTTTATTTTTTTTGTAAAATTCGAAAGAGCTCGCAACTATTAAAAATTTAGCTTTGAAATTTTGCACAGCCATTGACATTATTTTTAGGATGTTTGGTGTTGAAAATGGAATATATCTTTCGACGATTCGGTATAGCCCTTATATAACGGAAACACCTTATTTGTCGAAGTTTTGCTTGTTTTTACTTGTTATTGTACCTGCAACCGTAAGACTATAGCGTATATATTTTTTGTCAAACTTAGATCAAGGTCGAAGATGGTTAATATCGGTTCACACCTTTTTCTTCTGGTACGTGTACTAACGGTTAAAACTAACAAAATAATAAAAGCTAAGTAACTTAATGGCAATACCGGCCCACTTATTCCGGTCCCTCCCTCAACAAAGGGTCGAAATGAAACCTCGATCTTCTCTAAACTTAGTATATTCTACTATTTCTTTCAACACCAGATATAGGACAATGATTTCCATTATGGTCCAATCGTTTTGGTACCCTACCCTCAAAATTCGAAGTGTTAAACCATAAATCTCAAATAAATTGTAAAGGTTATCCGATTTCGTACACCTAAATATTTATATACCATTTAAGTCATGTGCGAAATCGGCAATATCTGACCATTTCTTTATTATGTCTTTGTGAATTCGTTTGTAACATGGAGAAGGAAGCGGATATTTGTGAATTTGTTTTTAATATGGAGAAGGAAGCGAGATAGACCCATAGTTACTCTTGAGGATCTTCATAAAATCACTTTCTGAATCGATTTATGCATGTCAGTCCGTCCATCCGTCTGTCGTGTATTCTTGTGAACAAAATGCTGGTCGCATTTATTATCCGATTGAGATGATATTTAAGGACAAACCCTATTGAAATGTGTGATAGTCGGATCAGATTTAGATATTACTCCCTTACATATCATCAACCGATTTCGGGTTAATTGAGCACCAAATGGCCAATATCAGTCCAAAAGTCCTGAATTTTGTACATAGTCAGTCTAGAAGCAAGTATATAAAATTTGGAAATCGGTTCAGATATAGCTATATCTCCCACATATATGTTTCATCCGATTTGGGGTTTTAGGTCTCTCACATGCGTAACATGCACCCCATTACAATAATTTTTGGTAT